TGGGTTGCAACCCAAAAGATGGTCACAAATCTATTTTAGTCTATTGTTTAGTCTAACCATAGTGACAGTTAGAATTTCTTTGAACTGACTACCTGATTGTGAAACAAACTGTTAAACTCATTATCAAACAGGACAGAAAATTGGTAACACGTACTGCTGCTAGAAGGCTAGAAATCGTACAGTCTATGCCAACCATATTACACGGAATGCAGATACATGCGGATTTCACAACTGACTTGATTTCAATTTACATATATACAGTGATTAATTGCTCTGCTGACCCAAATGACAGAAGTGCATGAACTACCAGAAAAAGCCCATTCAATTGGTGCGCATTTCATTTAATGCATCTTTTTCAATTCAACTTTCCGATATGAAATTGTACTGGGTATTGTCTATGCGATAAATCGCTCTAATGAACAGACTTTCAATTTCTTGCATAATTCGCTAATGCGCAACATGAAAGAACATTTACATGTATAGCAGCGGGAAAAATTCCCTTTTTTTTTCACGGGAGCCTCTTTTCAAGTCTGTGGGAAAAATAAGCTCTCGTCAAAAATTTTACTGGGAAGCTATTTTGAGCCTCACGAAGCGATTTCGGAGGTTTGAAGAGCGAAATCGCCTCATCGCTCCGTGTATTTTTTTACCCTGTAGGATATTGTGTGTCGACCAGTCAGAACAGAGCTCTTTACATAGCCCTTAGCATTATGTTTAGCTAGAACACTGCAACATGTTGCGTCAAACATGATTTCAGTACTATGCTTAACATCAAAGAATCTTACGCAAGTGGCATTTTTTAAATTCCCTTACTAAGAATTATGTACCTCTTTAGTAAAGGGGAGTTTATTAATTAAGTGAGCTTTAACATATTAGAACTTAAGTCTAAGGGTATCGTTTGATGTATATAATATACAATTTCTTTATGCACTTGCATTGCACATGCTATAGTTTTTGAGTCGTGCTTCTTTCCTGGACTGCAGTGTGTCTCGCATGGTCCCGGCCAGGCTTTGCTTGATGGCTTCCTTTAGTTGTCCTCGAGCTGCGTTTTTTTTGGATTGCCTGTTGTTTGCAGTTATACATATGTGATCTGCTAAGTCAAGAGCAAGCCTTGTCAAAAATTGGCTATCTCCTCAATAAAAAGATCAATGGCCAGAATGGTAACTACACTATACACCAACATTATTGCCCATTCTATCCAATAGTTTTACAGTGTCATGGCTCATCCCCGTTATTGCAATATGCAAGTGTCGAATCAAGGGAGGACTATCCACATTTGGTTAGCATTATAACTAATAAATCTATTTATTGATAATATTACAATTATAAATGCTATTCTATCAAGTGAGTAAGCACATATAAACTAAATTACTATCATGCTCACACAGCTTTAGCGGGCAGGCAAAATTAACCACTTGCATTCATATTTCATATACAGATGCATATACTTCAGATCTTCCAAGCAAGTTTGAACCTCTTTTGCATATACTAAGCATAACATTGGTCTCATTCTTAGCCTTGTGTATCCTCCGTAATTGCATCACTGGTAATATACTCACAAGATTCTGGCCGTCGTTTGTAACAGAAACCATACCATCGGCACAACCGGACCAAATGACATGTATGCTGTGTGCTTTCGATGGACCTAGTAAAAAAGTTTCAGTTTTTGTAAACCTTGCTCAACAATCGTATGGTATCAACTCTTATTTCATTAGCACGCAACTTAAGACAATATTTATACTTAGAAACAAGGGAGAACTAGAATATAATACGTAACTACGATAGAAGGAGCCAGATTATGGAAATATGAAATGGAAAACGGAATATGAGATTTTTACATTTTGTACGTATGACCATGATGTTAACGAACATATGCTATCAGACACCTATACTCAGAATGCCTTTAGCCAAAACGTCGGCATGCAATCTTCATCATTTACCTGGCTAGTGGTTAACCGCAGCTGGTTTACCCAGTGATGTATCCAGTGGTCCATGAATATAATCTGCGCTACGTCATTCATGCCATTCTCTATAGGCAGCAGGTTTGAGCCTACATGTGTCTGTGCAACAGCCTGCCCTGACATCGCCTAGAAAAAGCCAACAACGTGCTCAGGCAGGAATCGCGACGGCCCTAGCTTTTGAATTCCTCCTGAGTAAATCTACCTACAATATGTCCTTTCATCGTCCTCCATAGAAATACATTAACAGATGAAAGGATGATAATTCTAAACCTGAACATGGTAGTGCCTTTGCCAGTCGCAGCCTTCTTTAATTTTCTCTGCCTTGTTTGACAGCAGACGGCCTTGGTCTTCCATGCGCACCGCAATACTCATTGCTAAGCCACCGAGCAGACCGAAATGTTTCCGTGCGTCTCACCTTGAACAACGCCAGTGATGAGCTTTCGTATGTTGCTGTGTCTCGCCATGCAAACCTGAAAACATGACAAACAAAAGACGTACATGTGGTTGTTGTAACACAATAACACACTTCTAAACATGTCCAAAATATAAACACCCTTCGCAACCGTAACCAACCAGAATTAGGCGACTTTCCCAATGAGCGCATGATTGTCACTTTGTGATAAAACGTCAGAAACCTTTTACAGGTGTGCTACGTGTCTAAATTATTAAGCGGGCATGAGAATGCACTATCATGATTATTCCGGCTGTTTATTTACTATCTCAAATGTGACAAAAAATCTTGGCAATTAATTAATCTATTTTTCCATTATCACTCCTTATACTTAACTTACTTGTAGAAAGCAACGGACTCCAGAGCCATCGTATGAAGCATCTGGACTGATTTTGTGTTGATTTGGCACATCTTTACCGAATTCGTCTCAAATGTGGAATAATCCCATGTCAAGATCGCTTGCCACTTCTACAACACACAAACACACTTGTGAAACTCACATGCCTGAATATCTAGCTGAAAGCAATATATATCTGTATTATTTGTGGAAACATAATTTATAAGTAAGTATATCATTACTATGACAATGTTTAATACTTATTAGCGCATGGCTGTCTTTAGAAAACAAGTGTATCTCTCCAATTGATTCTGCATATAACTATATGACTATATGTTGGCCAGTAAAACGCACACATGCTAGTGGGATTTGCAGCCTGCAAATGGTCCTTGCATCAGCGTCGAAGGCTTAAACTCGAGCTCTTTGGCCAAGCGAAGTTGATGCCGCCAGCGTGTTCTGGTGAATTGCTTCACTGCCAAAAACACACCCAGTTGAAGCCAGCCAGAACAAACAACATTATAAAAGAGTAAGATAGCTAGCCAACACTGATGATCCTTACCTTTAGATGAAGAAATAATTATAATACTCTTATATATGAAATAACAATAAACATCTAATACCAAACAATAAATAAGAAAGTCTGAAACTTGATACATTCTGAAGATGAATATATTTATACAGGAATTCATGTTAGCAGCACACATTAATTACCAGCATTGATTACCAGCATTAATTACCAGCATTGATTACCAGCATTGATTACCAGCATTGATTACCAGCATTGATTACCAGTATTGATTACCAGCATTGATTACCAGCATTGATTACTAGCATTGATTACCAGCATTGATTACCGGCATTGATTACCAGCATTGATTACCAGCATTGATTACCAGCATTGATTACCAGCATTGATTACTAGCATTGATTACCAGCATTGATTACCAGCATTGATTACCAGCATTGATTACCAGCATTGATTACTAGCATTGATTACTAGCATTGATTACTAGCATTGATTACCAGCATTGATTACCAGCATTTATTACCAGCATTGATTACCAGCATTGATTACCAGCATTGATTACCAGCATTGATTATCAGCAGCTCACCAGTATGAAGTATGTGATCTAGAAGAGCTGCAATGGGCGGTCCTTCTGCTGATGAATGTTCGTAACAGAGTCCACAGTTACCGTGCTGACCAACTATAACCTGTGAAAGGAAAGGTGTACATTAACAAATAGCTATAAAACCATGCAGACCAACGTCATGAGAAATACAGGCCACCAATCTACACGTACCAGTGTAGGTGTACACACCAGTAATACAGGCCACCAATCTACACGTACCAGTGTAGGTGTACACACCAGTAATACAGGCCACCAATCTACACGTACCAGTGTAGGTGTACACACCAGTAAGGTACAACTCCTAACATCAATCTCTTAAAATATGGGCTATAAGCGAGTGTTGGCGATCAATACACTGAAACACCAAATAAATGTGATTGATCACTGGTAATATGCTAATATGATGATGATATCATGCAAAGTATTATTTAGCAATCATTTACTGGTCAATCGTACATATCAAATACCAATATTTAACTTTTACCAGCACTTACTATCACAGGCCTCTGTACACGATATGAGCTAACGTTCAATCTATATTGCTTCGTGTTACAGGGCTTCTTTGTTTCCAACAAATAAAAACAAGAACTTGAAGAATATATTCACAGAGACACACAAAAATACTCGTAAATCAAGACAAAAGAGACGATAATGTATGGACGGTAAAAAGAAATGTACTTGAATTGTTTTATCGAACCAGCGGTTGCCACTGTTCAGAGAACTTCCTCCTCCATACAACATTTCTTCACCAATCATCGCAGACCTTTCCTCTCCAACCGCGTCTGGAATCGGACGGTCCAGACACAGCAGCACGATGGCTCTGTGGATGCTGTGAAGGGATGTCCTGTTCTGGGCATCTGCACAAACACATTAATGTCGGTTAATTGTTGGAGAGTCACAGCTTACATCCTGTCAACTGAGTTCCTAATACAGTTCCATGTTACACTTATAATTTTGCAAGAGGATTTCACATCACGTGATATTAACAGTGTTTCAGAGAAGAAAATTTGTATTGCAAGAATAAACTGAACTGTCCCGGCCATCACTAGTCACTTCGAACCATTATCTTGTTTTTTGAAACATTAGGTTACTCGTTTCCACAGCAAAAATTATTTAAACTGCTTACACACTACAGGTGTAAGCAAAAACATTTGGTAATATCTTCATACATCTAGTCACGTTTTTTTAAACTTTAAAATAACAAAATTTAAAAAGATTATTATATAATTCTACCATAGACAGACACACACACATATTCTGTACACACATATCTATAGAGTAAACATATGTTCATGATACTACTAATAATATATAGCTTGTCACCTTTAATTAGTTTCTTGTGCACCTTGCCCCATGAATTCCTGCCTTCAGTTGTGAGAACACCGATCGGCCGTCCGACATATAGAGACTGGTCTATACAGACCTTTAGTTGCTCATAAATCTGCTTCTCATTCAGTCGTTCGTTATTCGATCCGTACACCGGAACTGCAAAGAACTATTGGGAAAAAAACAAGATTACTTCATGTGTAAATTGCAACGTACTCTAAAGTATGAATACAAATAAAATGGGAGGAAATAATATGAACTTTTATACAATCTTAATATCACCTTATATTCCCTCTTGAATGAATTATGTATTGTTTATGCAGATTAGCATATGTCCGAGAGCGATCAGGCAGGACAATATGTACTATTTCATGGTAGCATAGATTTTTACATAAAGCAACTATAAAAGAAGAGCCTAAATATGATATAGCTTTAAACCATGCAGATTATACCACAGAGACCTGCCAGAGTGGTGGTGGTTATTACCCAAAAATCTTAGACAATTATAAACGTAATTAATAATCATTATAATGCAAAGTCCCACCACAATTCAAATTTAGCGTAATCTTCACAACAAAAACGAAAGGCTCCTACTGTTTTTTCAGAGACCGCTATCACACATAGAATAACTAACGTAGTTATTATGTGCCACCGCTATGTGGCGGGGCGCGTCAGGCTGGTCGGCCGGATAGCCGACGGTGCTGTCGTGAGTCACTCCCGGAATTCTACACGATGACATCATAGAGTAGTACTGCATCATGCATAGAGACCGGTCACCCACCTTATCGACAGGCAGACTTTTTCTGTAATCATACCACGTGTAGAGAGTATAAGCAGCGACACTGGTTCACTCATGTGTAAGTGTGGCAGACGTTTGCTAATACACTAAAACTCGTCTTCACATATCTAGTATACTGCTAGTATAAAATTCACATTTCAAACCACACACCAGTGTACGAGTCATAAGTGAAACCCTAATGCAACCAACAACACCACCACGGCCCCTGCCATGCACCCAACACACACCTACCACACTTATAAGGTATCTATATATGAAGGTTCATTCTATTACCAAATATTAAAGTATACACACATTTTGAGGTGCGTTACTACAAATTACATTATACGCTCACGTATTTGAGTTTATAATATACACGTGGATGCACACGCACGCGTCAACGCAGACTTGGATGCACATCACATGTACAGATTCACGGACACATAACTAATGTAATGGGTCACTTACGTATCAAGCAGTTCTTTGTAGTCAAGAATTCCTCCAATTAACTTTGCTGCAAACCTGTAAATACCAAAAACCTATTTGCATTTGTCTGGCGTGATTGCAGCCTCATGAACTTGCGTGCAGAATTTGTAACAAATTTTTTGTCAGAAACAAAATCAGTCTTAACATTAGTCGTAAGTGTTATCTTAGCATTAACATTAGCATTAACTTTACGATGTTTCTGACAACGGCCCCCAGATAATTAGTAAATGCACGAACCTGAGTTGCCCTTCTCGCCCAGTGAACTCTTGTATAGGAAATATTACGCCAGGGTTGGAGTAAATACTAATCGGTGAGCGGAAACTCAGATAAGCCACATCTAGCCACCAATCTCCAAGCTGAAATAAGGAAAGAGTTCATGGTTGAAACAAAAAACATTAACGGCCAATTTTATTTATGAGTCGGCAATCGAATACCTAACAAAATACCGTATTTGACATCAAGTGCCTTTTCCTTGTGGTGTAAACGTTATAAAAGTTTGTTGTACATGGTGAAATAATGTGTCAAATGACTTTTCTTAAATTTTGCAATGTTAGATGAATAATAGAGTTTGGATCAAAAGGTAAAAATTGAAGAGCTATATTCTATATTAGGTAGATCAATGTTCATATATATCAGATCACCAAATCACCTGGTCACCCCCCTCCCCTGCTCCCCTATAATTCAATGGTCGGCACACGTTTTCTCACCCAGTTTTCTTTTGTCTTTGCTCTGTTGAGTAGCATGTTTTGGAGCTGCTCCCCAACTCCCCCAGGTTTCCCAAAGTCCTCCACTACCTGCACAGAAATAACAATAATAAAATAGAATTACTGTTTTTCATATAGATTTGCTTGGTTAATATTAGTGATCAATACATTTTTTTAATGGCGTATGAACTTATCTATGTAGGAATTATCTGGTTAATTAGGTAAGGGGGAATAAAGTGATTACATGACGATTTCTGCAAAGAACATGAAGCGAGTGACTTGCTTTTCAATAACAAAAAAAATGTTAATAGTGGCTAAGGTACGAGAATGACAAACAGTGCTAAATTTAACAATAGCATGAGCTTTGTAGTTAATAATTAGTATATGAGAGCAAGTCTAATTTGTTTAAGAATACAGATTTGTGAAATCTGCAGGCTTACTGTTCGTGTCTTTGTCATTTCCTCTTGTTCAAGTAAAGGTTGAAGTGACAGAATATACCTGTCCAGTGTCTGCTTCAGTGGTGGTACGGGCAACTGCGGTAGGCTACTCTAAAACAAAAGTAAAATAAAATCAGTATTGCAGCAATTACATTATTAATTCATGAGCATTTTCAATCAGCTGAAATAAATTCTAAGCAGACCAGCATGGTGTAACTAAAAAAAATCAGACAGGCTTTTAGCAGATCCACATCCTAAAAAAATATGGTTAAAATCTATTTTTAAACCTAGTGCCTCTTCACCTTTGACTTCACATTTTTCCACAAGCTCGGTTAATTTATCACCTTTTTGACTACGCTTCTCAAATTACCCAGGACAGTACAGATAAAGCCAGTGACACTTTGCCACATTATTCCAGCTAAATGTCCTGAGTAAAATAATAGTAACACTTAGACATAACTAGCTAGCATTATGGTTTTTCAATATTGTTCTATCACACAGACATTTTGGATATAGGTCATATAAGCTTGTGGTAGAACTAAGCATGTGGTACCTACAGTAGCAGCTTCATTCTGCAGCATTCATTCTGCAGAACAACATTTCATTGTGAAATGAAGCCGCTGTATCATGAATATCTGTATTGCAGAGTAATATAATGCATTTAAAAAGTAATCCTAATAGTTTTTACCTGGTGTGAAAGTAGCATGCAAGCGGCGAAGTACGCCATTTTTGTGCCAGGCAGCACAAATGCGGGTACACTGATTCTGGGGCTGCACCTACAACAAAAAATTACTCAAGATTCACTCAATGAAATTTATAGTAGAATTGAAATACTTTTTTAAATTCTACCATTCTGCATGGTCCATGTATAGATTATTAGGCTGTATCGCTTGGCCATATTTCGAACCTGTCGTAGAAAAAAAGACAAGAACTTCAAGAAAAAATGTAACTTCTCGCTCCTCCTCGCTACCCCCCCCCCCAAGGAGAAAGAAGGGGGAAATAGTAGGGGGTAGGTGGCAGAAGATGGTAAGTATAGGTGTGGTAGACGAGGTATGTAGAATAGAATACGGCACAAGGGCCTGTATCCGGTCTAATTAATACATCAAGCCTCAATTTTGTTCATAGTCCTTTGCGATATTAAATCATTCTAAACATCATTGCGAGCGGTCATGGTGTTGTAGGTATTATGAGTATACGTTGGAAGGTAAATTCCCATTGTACACATTACATCATGTGATCAGATCATTACATCATTACTATGTGACTAGTTAAGGTAGTCATATTGCAGGTGGGACCATGCAGTGCCTGTCAATTTTGTTTTTGAATTCATTTATCGTTTTTGATATGACAATTTCTTCGGGCAGGGAATTCCAATCGCTGACGGTTCTAAAGCTAAATGATTTCTTTTTGAGTGTATGATCTACTTGCCGTTTATACAAATACTTGGCTATTGTATCTAAGACATTGTGTGCTGCTATCTAGTTTTAGCCACGGGTATTGGTCGTCGTATTTTCCATGTAATCGCTTCCAGACCTCGATCATGTCACCCCGTCTTCTTCTGTATAAAAGTGATGGTAAGTTTAACAGGCGTAGCCTTTCATCATACGGCAGAGTAGTTAACCCGGGTACTCGTTTGGTGGCATATTTCGTTGTACGCTCTCGATTTTCTTAGTGAGACCGATCTGTGTAACGTCCAGACTGCATTTCGTCCACATGACTACACCTCTGCTCGGGTTACCAATGATATCAGGCCAGCATTCATATCCTGGGATTACTAGCTCAGTGAGCGCTAACGAGTTGTCATCTGTATTTTTAGATTTTATTTCGGCCAGACCTATAATATCAGGAGAAGTTACATCAACCATGGCAAGAATTTCAGATTTTTTGTTGGAGAGCGTATCAATGTTGCTGTAGAAATACTTTAAGCCATGTGTAGTTCTAACGTTCCAATCCATGATTTTTTTTATTATGCCTAGTTTTATCAATTTGCTTGATTTTTTCATAAGTGTGTGGTCTTATTGATTTTCCTGGGGTATTATCACCTTTCTCAAGGTATCTCTGAGTATGATCCACTTGAAATTTTTGATGCCGGTTTTTTCCAATTCTGCCTGTCGTTGAGTTCTCATAGCTCTTAGAATTTTTCCCTCTTTGCGTTGCATTGGGGTGAGGTCTGGGGGCAACTCCTTTTTTGTTGAAATGTCTAGTTTCTTTAGTGCCTGCATTAGTGTGGAGGGATCCCCCTTCTCCTTGAAGGTCGCTTTCATGGACCGAAAGGCTCCATCCTCGTTTTTTGCCCCCGACCCTAATTATTTGTTTGACGTTTGGGACCTCAACCTGTAGATTATCTGTGATGAATTTGCTAAGCTCCATGGTATATACAAGGCTGCCAACTCTCACGCATTGACCGTGAGACTCACGCATTTTAACCAAATCTCACGCTCTCACGCTGATCTTACAATATCTCACGCACAGCAAAAAATGCTGAGATATCTCATGCATGAATATCTCTTCATAAATAAAACGCTGAAATATCTCACGCACAGCAAAAAAAATCTTACAATATCTGAAAACAGTCACTTTAGTATGCGGCTATGACATATGCGTGCCGGACAGGGTGTCAGTACGGGCTGATTAGGAGTCTATGTCAGCGAATTTTGATTGAGCGTTCACCTCGGGGTCTATCTGTAGCCTCGAGCCGGACAGAACGAGTCACCAACTGGATATACTAACCAACACTGTATTGCGCGATTGGTTTATTTTGCGCTCGAACAAAAAGATATACGTGCCGGACACGGGCAGACAGGAGCGAATTTCCAGCGGATCGTCCGGCCGGCTGTAAATAGATTCGGCCGAAAATATCGTAACATTTTTTATAACGGGAGATTCGACGGGCGTACGAAATCGTTGCGTCGACGTGAACGGGGCCCACATGCACGGGGCGAGTTTTATTCGAGCGATTTTTATAATTCGCCCCGCGATCAGGGCGAAAAATACGCTCGTAAGTGCCCCTCAATGACTACGTAGGAAAACGTAGGTTCAACACTGTTTTCACTATCTCGCGCAGACGACGTTCTGGTTTTTTTTTTTTCGACGTAGCAAATTAAAGCGTGCGTTTGGCGCTCTGGTTTTATAATACATAATGTCCATTATGATACCGTAATTAAACAGCCCCCTGAACTCCGACCTGACCAGGCAATCGCCCTGGACCTTGACCGGCCTGCGGCACTGGGACTCCGCGGCTGAAAACACAAAAATTGGTTCCATTCCTCATCCCTGGGCTAAAATCCTGATTGGATTAAAATCGAGCTAGTGCTTGCCGACACCTCAACCAAATCGAAATGCTGGTAGTAACCGCAAGAAGCTACATTATAACAGTTATATGTAGGTTATGTGTACTACAGTTATATGTAAGCGTCCTTGGTAGTACCGACATGCGGATTAGTACCACGGTTACCGTTAGCGAACGAGGCCTGAAGCCGATAAGAAAGAAAAATCATGAGCGGAACAAGCGCGTGGAGTTTTTTGAAAAGAAAGCGTCGCCAATACAGCCGAGAAAAAACCTTATGGTTCAAATTTCTTGTATTCAGGTAGGAAGCGCACCGGCCACTATCCATATGCAAAAAAGATATGGGGCCTACAATACATTACAAGTTGCTTGGCGGCACACGGCTATACAATACTGCATATCACAGCAATGTATCCATATTAATAATTGTGTCGTTATGGTTATGATTTTATATCTTAACGACGAAAAAATGGCAATGAGAAAATTGGGGCTATTTAGCCATCTTTTCAATTTTGGGGCCAGTAGAAATATAATTTCTGGTGGCACCAAAAAAGAAAACATTTTTGGGCTGCAGCCTTATCGGCTGACCCGTAGTGTTGCAGAGCACTGGACGTGTTAGCGGGGGGAGGGTGTGGGAGGGGGCCGGCGTGATCATCATGTTCACGGAAGTGCGGGCCTCCCGCAACGATTGGAGATGTTTGCCAATTATTACACTAAAATGAAGCGAACCTGAGGTGAAATTCTTTGCTACATTTATCATACAACAAAAAATTTTTTTGGCTTTGGGGGGAGGCTTGGGGGGGGGGGTTCGTTTCGAGTGACCGCCGCGAACTTCTGCAGCCCTCGCTGCCGCCG